CGTGCCCCACGGGACGCATGTCCTCTGCTCCCTGACAAGCTCGGGCCCTCCGGCTCATTCTGCAAGGTGGGGTGCAAGGTTGTCTGCACTTGATGTTATAATGAGGCGTGAAGTGCTGGGTTTGGGCCCTGGGGGAGGAAACTCTGTCCCCTTCCACTGAACCACAGAACCGGACTCCAGCCGCGCCGCTCCCACATTCCCTTCGCTGCCAGGCTTGGGCGTCTGGTGAGCTGTGGCCCTGGGCCCATGGCACTGCGTCTTCACACCAGACTAGGACACAGGCTGGCGGTGGCTGAGCCCAGCATGGTCGTCCTTGGGACCTCTGCTCGCCTGAGCTGGCCTTCATCCCAGCTCTGAGTTCTCTCACGGCCGTGCCACTGTTTCTCTCTGAAAGCTCACACTTTTTCTCCTGATCTCTGGAGTCTGAGACAGGCCCAGCAGGTGGGCCCTTCTGCCCCAGGGCCGCTAGGTTCATGTCCCCCCGTGGTCCGTCCCACCCAGGGCTCCAGCTGACCGCCCTCCCACCTGGCCTCTACCTCCTCACAGGGGACAGAAGCTGCACCAAAGCCCGGAGACCTCAGAGTCTGGCGCGGGGGCGGGAAGCGCGGGACATGGGGGTGTACTCCCAGGGTGACTTTTCTTGCCTATGAAACAGAATTGTTCGCTGGTACAAAGAGAACATTAGTCATTCTCCACGTTGACCCCACGAAGCATTCCCTTCTGTTGTATGCACACACGGAAGCAGAGCTGGCCTTTGGAAGGTGAATGAATGGGGAAAGATTCCGTCTTTGAGCAATAAACCTGGCTCCTCGTCTGTACCCTTGAAATGGATGTGAAGCCGAAATGACCAGCAGCCCAGGCACGGCACTAGGGCATTTTACTGTGGTCACATCCCAGCCCTCAGGGTTCTGGAGGTGGGAGTCGTCCCAGGGTTCCCGGAGATCCAGGAGGCGGGGCAACAGTCAGAAATGCTGCAGGACACTTGGCATCAGATGACCAGCAAAGGCCTTCATGTTAAACAAGTAGAGGGGGTAGGGGCTCCATGGGGCAGGAGTAGGGCTGGAGTTGGCTCTGAATCATCTTGGGGGCAGGAGGTTTTCAAAGCCAACATCCATAGCTCCAAATCAATGGTCTGTTCCTGTGCCCCGGGGCTGGGCCCTGTCCAGCCCAGGAGCTGAGAACAGACAACCCGGTCTGTGCCGGGGCTCCCTTCCCTGCATCCCCGCCCACACTCTCCACGGCCCTCAGCGTCCACACTGTCCTGGATAAGGGCGATCCTACAAACTGGCCCACAGGCTTCCTTGGGACCGTGGGACAAGAAGGAGGAGGGGCAGGTCGTCAGTCCCCTCAGGGGGGATAAAATGAGTGCAGTCCCCTGGGGACCCCCATTCTCAGAGATGGTGAGACGGTATAGGGTTGGCCCTCCACGGTCAAAGCCTGGCTCCCCAGCTGGTGTAGGAGAGCATTTGGCCGACGTTCGTGTGCCTCAGTTTCCCCATCCGCAGAAGGGAGAATAATAGCCACCAGCAAAAAATAACCAGGGTACTTGCTGACGGCTGAGCCCCTACGGTCATAGGTGAGGCCACTGAACTCACAGCTGTACGCAGGGCCTGGCTCTGATGACCAAGGGCTTGGGAGGCCAAGTGTCCCCTGACACGCAGCAGACAGGAGGCTCAGTTTCCCCAGGAAACTGGAAATGGAAAAGATGATCCTGGGCAGCTCAGCCTCGCCCGCACCCCACCCCCACCGCTGCCTCAAGGCCACTTGAAGCCTGCAAGAGAGGCTGCTGGGTGGAGCCCCCTCTGTGTGCCTCACATGAAGCCCCCGGAGGGCTGCTTCCCCCAGAGCGCTGGCCCCCCAGACCCGGACTCAGCAGAGCTGCGTGCATGCGTGGGAACATCTGCATTTCTGACCCATCCCGTGCGATGCAAGCTGCTGGCTGCCTTCGCAAAAACCCAGGCTGCCAGAACTTAGCCCCCCTCGGGGTGGTCTGTCCCAGAGCCCGGGGTGGGAAGTGCACACAGCAGGGCTTTTCATCGCACACATGCACAAAGGACTTCCCCATCAAGGCGGGAGGTGATGAAATTGATTGTCGTGTGTTCTTACCTGGGGGTCCTCTGCACCCACAAAATCAGCGCCTGGAAAGCCAGGGCCTGGGGTCTGCCCTTGGCCATCACAGCCTGAGTCGCTCACTCCCCCTTCAAACCCTCATGAGTGCCAGCAGGGACAGGACCTCCCCTTCCCTCATTCACGTGGCTCACTTCAGTGACAGGCAGAGGGGACATTTCGGGCCTGGCAGTCTCTCTATTGCAAGACAAAGCAAGCTGCTGACCAGACCGTAATTAAGGCAAAAGGAGTAGGATCAGCAGATACGACACAGAACACCCAGTTAGATTTGTACTTTAAATAGACAAAGAATAATTTTGGATATCAGCATATCTCACACAGCATTTGAGCCACATCAATACTGCAAAATTACTCATTTTTTATCTGAAATTAAAATTTAACTGAGCGTCATCCTTTATTTTTATGTGTTAAATCTGGCAACCCCGCAAAGAAGGCAACACGCCACCTAACCCATCTGCAGTGACCAGCCGGGAGCCTGGTGTCCCACAGCTCCCCGCTGCCCCTGGGCCAGGCCTAGCACCTGGCAGGTGATGTGGCACAGCTGTGCCCGGTGGGCAGGACAAACGGGATCATCCCGGTGAGTCCTCATATGCCCCATGTGAAGAATTGGACTTTCTTTCCAAGGGAACAGGAAAAGCCTTCACTTGGTTCCCGACGGCAGGTGTCTGAGTGGGGAGTGCTGGTCTGAGTCAAACAGTGGGTGGGAGACGTCCCCTAGTGGCGAGATGTGTGGGCTGCAAGTCACAGCTAGCACCGGATGGGACATTCCTGCCACGCGAGCTGGCAGCCCTGGGTGGCTTGGGCACCTCCCACCTCTGAGGCCCCTCAGCCCAGGAACGGGGATAATGCTGTTGCCCTTGACGTCCAGATGTCAGGACAAGGTCCGAGGAGGCCCATGTTTGAGCAAGTGGACGTGAACCACCACAGCAGGCCTCCCAACTCTGAAGGCTGTGCTTTCTGCATCAGCGTACTCCTCTGATGTCCGGCAGTGAGCTCCACTCTGTGCCACAGAAGAGTGGTCCACAGAGCAGTGCCAGCCAAGCTGAGGTAGGATTCCGTTTCCACCCGAGACTCAGAGGCGAGGAGAGGGTGCTCAAAGGAAGGTGGACACACAAGAGCATGTCTGACCAAAGCCTTCCAAATTCTCCTTCCTGGGAACCCAGCTCTCACAACCAAGAACCAGATGTCCCCTTAGGAGTGGAGGACAGGTGCCCTTTGATAAGCAACAGTCACTACCTTCCAGAGGTGACATCAGCTTCCCAGGCAAGAACCTCCACTTGGGCAGAACCCAGAGTATGTCTGGGAATAATTTACAGCACCCAGACTCATACAAGACTGATGAACAGACCAGACGGCTTGTGTGCTTGTTGGTCATGGGAGAGATCCCTTTCCAGGGCCTGGCTGCTTCCCACATGGGGTCCAAGCCCCCAGTGCTGGGATGAGGACACTTGGGAGGCCTACTGCATCTTTGGAAGATGTGGACAACACAGGTGGCAGTGGGAGGACGGGGGATCATTCAGCCTCAGGGATCAAGAGAGAGAGTTGGTCAGTTGGTTACCCGGTCCATGAACAAGTGGTCTCGGTCCTCCCGCTGTGGGCCAGATCAGCCCTGGCCCCTGGATCTGAGCGACAAGCTGGCGGGGATGGCAGATGCCAAACAAGCAGTCACCGATAGTTTGGATGACAAGTAGGCGGCGTGGGCACTGCGGAGCACTGGTGGAGTGTGGGCCCATGAGGCACCAGGTGGGATCCTCCTGCGTGGGGGTCAGGGTGAGAAACCTCAAGACAGTCTGATGGTCAAACACCGAGCGAAGAACTGATCTCCAGAAACCACCACCCATGACCCAGCTCCCTCCCCAGCCTGCCAGGCCTGGCCTGTTCTGGTCCCCACCAGACCCCTAGCTGGGCTCCCCCTGCAAGCCTCCTTCTGGCACCAGGACCACACAGGCCTCTCTTTCCGCCCCTCAGTCTGTGTCCCAGGCCTCAGTTCTCAGGTCCAAGGTCACCACCCCTGGGCGCTCTCTGGACCCCGGGACAGGAGAGCCACATCTCCCCGGTGTCGCGCAGGGGGCGCGAGTCGCCAGCAGGCCCATGGGCAGCGAGGACTCGGGCCCCGGCCCGCTGAGCCCGCTCTGATTCCCGGGTCGTCCGAGGGAGCGGGGCTGACCCGAGCCCGCACCGGCCGGGGGCACGCTCGGCGGGGGCGAAGCCTGAGCGAACACCCGAGCGGCCAGCGGGCGGGGCGCCCGACGTTCGGCAGGAACCCCGGGGAACGCGCCGTTACGGGCCCCACACCCGCAGGAGGAGACGAAGGCCTAGAGACGCTCCGCACCTCGGCCGGACCAAAGTCCGCGCGCTGCGGGACGAGAGGCCAGCGGACGCCGGCCCCGGGGCCCCAACACCGGTGGGCGTGGCTGGGGCGGGACGGGGCGGAGCCGGAGGCCCTGATTGGGTAATGCCTCGATTCCTCGCGGGACTTCCTCCCGGCTGGCCACCTTGGCCCCGCCCCGGAGGAGGCCCCGCCCCCGCCGCGGACCCGTGCGGCGTGTCGCGCCGAGGTCCGGCCGGGGCAGCGGAGGCCGCAGGGAGCCCAGGCCGGCGGGCGTGGTCAGTTGCCTGCTTTTCCCCCTAAGCGCCTCAGTCGGCGAAGTGCGGCTGCCGTCCCGCCCCTGGGACGCACGGCTCGGAGGGGCCGCCCCGGGCCCCGCGCCGCCGGCGCCACCACCTTCCCCAAGAGCGCTTCCGTAGTCCGCCCGCGCCCACCGCGCTGCGCCGCTAGGCCCGGCCGCCAGGGGGCGCCGCGAGAGCCGCCCCTCAGCTGCGCCTGCGCTGGCGCCGCGCTCGAGCCCGAGAGCAAACCCGCCGAGCGCGCGCTCGCCCGGCAAGTGCGCCTGCGCGGAGGCCGTGGCCGCGCCCGCTCCCGCTGGGGGCTCGTCGCTGGGCGGCCGGGCCATGGGGGAGGCCGAGGTGGGCGGTGGCGGCGCGCCGGGGGACAAGGGGCCGGGGGAGGCGGCCACCAGCCCAGCCGAGGAGACGGTGGTGTGGAGCCCCGAGGTGGAGGTGTGCCTCTTCCACGCCATGCTGGGCCACAAGCCCGTCGGTGAGCGGAGCGCCGCGGAGGCCGCGGACCCGCGTGGGGGCGGGGCAGACCGGGCAACGGCCGGGGGCGCGGGGCGGGGCCACTTACGCCCGCCCACCCACCTGCACCGCCTTTTTCCTCTGCGTCTGGCGACCCCTGCGCCCACCCACTCCTCCCCGCCGACCCTGCCCCCTCCTGCACCGCTCCGGCACCCTCCCTCTGTCCGTCCCTTAGCCTAGCGCCCCCACTTCTGCCGACCCTGCGCCCCTGCTGTACCTCCCTCTGTCCCCTTCTTAGCCTAGCCTCCTACCTCTGCAGACCCTGCCCCCTCTGCACCCCTGCTGTACCCTCCCTCTGTCCCCTCCTGCTCCCCCCCCCCCCGCCCCCCCTCCCCCCCCCCTCCTGTACCCTCCCTCTGTCCCCTCCTGCGCCCACCCCCCTGCCACCCTCCCCCACCCCTCCTGTACCCTCCCTCTGTCCCCTCCTTAGCCTAGCCCCCTACCTCTGCCGACTCTGCCCTTTCCTGCGCCCCTGCTGTACCCCCCATTCTCTGTACTCCTCCTGTCCCCTCTTGCACTCTTCCACCCTACTGTATCCGATTTCTTTCCTTTCTGCATCCCTCCACCCCCCAATATTCTTCCTCCATCCCCTCCTGTGTCCACCTCTCCCACCCCATCACCAGCCCTGCACCTGTCTGTACTCTTCCATCCCTGCCTCCCACCTCTCTCCTCCTCTCTTATGTGCTAGCCAAGCTCCCTCTCACAGGCTTACTCCTTTTTCCCACAGGTGTGAACCGACATTTCCACATGATCTGTATTCGGGACAAGTTCAGCCAGAACATTGGTCGGCAGGTCCCATCCAAGGTCATCTGGGACCATCTGAGCACCATGTATGACATGCAGGCGCTGGTGAGCCAGATCCCACCCTCCCCCAGACACAGCTCCTCCTCTGGGGGCCCTCTGTCCTGTGCACATCCCAGGGGATAGCAGGAATTAAACCAGGGAGCTCAAGTAGTTTCACTAAAAACCCCACCCTGGTGACGGTGGCTGGCTTCCGGTGCAGAACCTCTTTCACGTGGGGTGGCTGGCGACAGTCTTTGCAGGGAGATGACCAGGGAGCTGAGGCCTGTGGGAGGAAGCAGGAGGCCCCACAGTGCTCTAGGCAGGAAGGTGATGGGATCTGAGTTTGAATCTGGTGACTTCCTTGAGAACCAGGCAGGAAGGGTCCCCTCCTCAGGGGACCCCGCAATGGTTTCATCGGAAGGCAGGCAGCTTCACTCGGCGACTGGGAAGGCTCAAAGGAACAGGGATGTTCCCAGCCCAGGAGCGGCAGCGGTCCAGGCCCTGTGGCAGCGGGAGATGATGGTCAAGGAGCAGAGAGGAGGCCAGGGCCCCTGGAGAGTGGTGTGGCGGTGGGAGTTACAGGCACGCACGGGGGTAGGAGTCTGTGCAGGGGGAGGTAAGGCTCTGCCTCCTGGCTGACTGCAGCCGCGCTCGCCCTCCCAGCCCTCCCAGCCGAGGCTTTCTTTGTCCAGACCCAGTGTTGCCCTTGCTCCCTGGGGGCTGTGGGCAGGTCATCTGCATCTCCTTTTCTATCATAGAGAGGGGACAAAGATGGCAGCTGTGCTATGGGGACTGAATGCTCAGCCTGCAGGAGGCGTCCTGGGAGCAAGGTCGCAAGGCCCAGCTGTCATGCTGAAGGAGCTGCTCCCCGGGGGGCCTTGCCCCCACACCCATCCCGTCATGGGGTCACCTGGTCCCCGGACTTCCCGGGCCCTGATTCTAGGCCAGTGGGAGCCAGATACAGACGTGAGGGTGGCAGGGTTCCTGTCCTGGGGGAGCCCCTGCTGCAACCCGGGAGACAGACATGGACACCCAGCACCAGGTCCACACGACCTTGGCGAGCTGCAGGGCAGCACTCGAGGACTTCGGTCCCGGACAGGCAGCCCTTCTCCCGTTCTCCTCAGCGTCTTCCTGCCTGTCCCTTGTTCAGCATTAGGCAAGACATCCAGGCTGTCCCCTGCTCAGACCCCTGGGCTTCTGTGGGGCTGCTGCTGGCGGGACCTTGGCCGTATAGGTCCGTGACCCCCGCTGCAGGGGGACCCACGGGCCTGGGAGCCGTGGGGCTGCCGAAGCCCAGCGGATGCTGATGGCCATGGGTGCGGGCTAGCAGCCGGCTGCAGTACGGTCCCAGCCTGCAGAGAGGAGCGGGTCTGCTTGTCCACAGTCCCAGTGCTTCCTGCCACTCCCCTTTCCCTTCAGCTGGGGGTCCTGTACCTCCAGGGTCTCTGTCCCTTTTGGTCTGTGGGGCCCCGGGACCTGTAGAGCAAGTGGAACTCCGGTAAGCGCTGTGTCCCTGACGACTCTTTGCTCTGCCTGGTTTGCCAGGCAAAGGCTTGCCCCTCGCGCGCCGTCCGTGCCTGTGCGCTCCTGCTCCGAAGACAGACCGGGGGTGCCCTGGCCTTTGGCCTTTCCTCAGCGTGGTCACTGCCCTCCGATGGCCCCAGCATCCTGCCCTTGGCTGGAGGTGGGGGGCGGGGGGCGGGCCAGGAGTGCCCCCTGCTGGCTGGCGGCTGGCGCTGTAGCTTTGCCTTCTGTGGGCCTGTTCGGAAAGCCCGGCTCCCTCGCAGGCCGCCCACCTCCACAGCCCCCCGTGGCTGCCACTCCGCGTCCGTCAGGTGCTGTGAAGCTGGCTCTTCCACGTTTTTGGTGACTTGCTAAAATCGTGGTTTTTTTCTTTTGTTTCTATAACAAAATCGCCGGTTTTGCCATCAGCACGAATCTGAGATTCTTCCATTCCCAAACCCAGAGAGAAACTTTGTCCTTCCCGAAGAAATCATTCATGAAGTCCGAGAAGGTGAGGCTCCGCCTGGTGGGATCCGGCCCGGGGTTAGGAGGCAGGATGCGGCGAGGGTGGTGATGTCAGGGTGAAGGTTACGAGCCTCAGGGAGGAGGTGAGGGTTGCTGGCATCGTTATTCTTGGCCCAGGTGGACTGGGGAAGGGGCGGTCCGGGGAGCCTCGGGGACTGGAGGGAGCTCCTTCAAGAACAGTCGGCTCTCTTTGAAAGCGGCCTGGCGGCAGCTGGGAACCACACACACAGCCGTCCCCGGCCTGAGCCGTCCGCAGCATTGGGCAGGGCCACGTCTCCCACCGTTTTGGTAAACGTCAGCTGTCGCCCCACAGGAAAAGTGGTCATTGAAGAAGAAATGAAGGAGGAAATGAAGGAAGATGTGGACCCCCACAACGGGGCTGACGATGGTGAGTGGGGGGCACCCCAGACCCTCCCCTAGGTCCCGCAAGCAGCGCCCCCATCCCCAGCCTGGGTGTCCAGTCCACTTGTGGCCAGAGTTGTCCTCTCTGCTCCTCCCTCCGCTTGGGTGGGAGCCTCGGGTGGCAGCGTGGGCGGCCCACACTACGAGCAGGCCCCGGAGACCTCAGGTCTGGCACCAGCCACCAGGCAGCAGGCACAGGCCGCGCTCCACGAGGCAGGGCAGGCGGGCAGGGTCCTGCGGCCCAAGGCTGCGAGGCGGCGCACCCTCAGGGACCCAGCTCTCTGCAGGCCCCGGGGCAGCCCCAGCCCAGAGTGCCTTGTGTAGGTGCAGCTTTCTAGAATTTGGTAAGAAGATGAAATAAAACTCTGGATATTCTGTTTTCAGCCAAATGATTTTGTCTCCCAGTTTTTTCGTCTTCAGGAAGCTTGGGGAAAGCAACAGAAAAGTCCAGCAAAGACAAGAATCCTCCGGACTTGGGGTCCAAGGAAGGGGCGGACAAGCGGAAGCGCAGCCGGGTCACCGACAAAGTCCTGACGGCGAACAGCAATCCCTCCAGCCCCAGCGCCGCAAAGCGGCGCCGAACGTAGTCGTGGCTCAGCCACGGCAGGGGGCCGGGGCACTGCTGTCACCCGGCCAGACACCCCCAGCCCGCCGCCTGCCCTCAGGCACCTGGGGCTCCCGCGGGGCCGCCTGTGACCACCTGGGGCTCCGGGGTGCCCTGAGAGACCAGAGCTGGCTCAGTTGTGGAGAGCCGGGGTCTGGGCCCGTCTCCCCCGCACCGGCGGGTGAGCCCCAGCTATGCTGGCCGCCGGCCGGGCTGTGGTCCGGGCTCCACAGAGCAGAGCGCGGGGCATGAGCAGGACAGCTGGAGTGATGAACAGGGTGCCGGCTCTGTCTTTGGGGAGCGCTGGTCTTGCTGGAGGACGCAGCTCTCCCCGTCCATCCATGTGTCCATCTGTCAGCCGCTCTTCCTAACCGGGCTGCCCCCGGGGGCGAAGGAGACTCAGGCCGCCCTGCCCCCCAGCGCCTGCACCCAAGAAACCGGGGCTGGAGACTTCGCCCCACTCACTTGTACTGTAACGATGTATATAATTTGGTGGTATTTCACTATTTAATTTTTAAGAAGCCTATTTTACTAGTGTTTTATATGAAAAAAATACTGCAGAAGTTAAACCTGTGTTGTATTTTTCCTGAGATGCTTTGTGCTCGGTCGTGAGTACGGAGACACTCCACTAGGTTTTATATGCCGGGAACAGAGTTTGTACGGGCTATTTTTGTATCTCCGGGACCTTGGGAACAGGCCGGATGAGTGTGTGGAGGGCGGTGCTGCGGCCGGGCCGCTGAGGTGCTTTCGTTTGAGCGCCGACCATTAAAGCACAAAGAACAGCGGCCGTCTCGTGATTTTGGCGCCAGAATAAGTCCCCTTTTCTAACAGTAGGAAGCCTTTGTTTCCCCAAGATTTACAATGCAGCCTACGCTCTCAGACCTGGTAGTGTTCCCTTGATACAACGTGTTCACCAACTAGAAACAAGGCCAGAGTGGAAACTTTGTTAGTGTGGCGGGTCCTTCAAATACAAAATGCGAGGATGGCAAACAAAGCAGAGCTGATTTCGGGTGGAGCTGGGATGTCTGGGGCCTCAATGGCAAGCCACATGGGACTCTGGGCTGAATCTGTTCTCCAAGGAGGAGGGTCCAGCCGTCCTGGCAGAGTGAGAAGGGGATGCCCTCCCTCCTGGTCCCAGGCTCTTCATCTGGACAAGGTACCCGAAAGCTGCATTCCCATCCACCCAGAGCCGCCTCCAGCAACTCGGAGCAGGAGCCCGGCCCACGGAGCAGCCCACCAGGTGAGGGCAGGAACCTCACGCTCAGCGGGTGGCCCAGCGTGGTCAGAGAGTGGCCTGTACCCAGCCCGCCATCACACATGTGGCCTTGAACACATTGCTGGCGCCCCTTCACCCCAGCAGGGCCCAGTCCACCCTGTGCAGAAAGACCAGCTGTGTCCGGGCTCCTGAACCTGAGCACCCCGGTGCCCAGCCCAGCTGCCCATTCTTCGCTGGAACCAGGAGCAGAGGCTTGGCGCGGGTTGACCTCCTACGGGGAGCTTGGGCGGGCCTCCTGCGGGTGATCTCCCTGAGCAGGAACCTGGTCAGTGCCCAGGATGGAGTCCCAGACTGCCACTTCCCCACGAGGGCCTGCCACTGGCGTTTCTCCCGAGGTCTGAGAGGCAGCCCCGTGAGACCTGCTACTGTCACAGCGCAGCAGACCCCACCCGCACCCCCAGATGCCCAGACAGGACTGTCCCTGTGCTTGCCACAGAGCAGGGAACATGCCCCACGTGTGTCCAAGGGGGAAGGGGGAGCAGAGGTCTGTGTCCTAGGAAGCTCAGTGCCCTGCAACCCTCCCACGAGGCCTGCTCTGGGCCAGGTCCTGAGGTGGGAATTGTAAACGCCTGCCAGAAGCCCAGTCCCTGGAGAGAACTTCAGGGAAGTGGGGCAAAGAGCTCTGCGGTCACAAGTGGTACCAGCAAAGATTGGGGCTCTTCCCCAGGCTTGCTGGCAAACCCCCATCTGAAACCGTATCTTCACGGCCCTTCGATCTTCCTGGAAAAGCCTAGTGCCTCGTTTGGTGAGTTAACGTCTGCTGCACGCCTAAGAGAGGAGGGGCAAGGGGCGTACTGAGCCCATCATGGCAAAAGAGCAGGTGTCCCCACCACCTCCTGGCTCAGACATTTTTGGGGGGCCCAGTCCCCATTCTCTTGTGCCTGTGGGGGCTGCAGTCCTCGGCAGGGGTGAGGCCAGCCCAAGCATCCCTGGCTTGGCCCGCACAGGTGCCTGAGGCCCTGCCCAGCTCTCACCATCCTAGTTTTCCTGCCCGGCAGCCAGTTCAGGTCAAATTCACAGGCATCTGGGGCACTGAACCTCTCCCGGCCTAGGGACCCTGTCTGTGACGTGGGGGTGTCACCCTCACATAAGTAGGATGTTTCTGAAAGAGGCCAGGAGCTGGCCTCGCCAGATATGCGATGGCTGCCCGCTACCCCAGAACCCTGCCCTGGCCACCTGGGGCAGACCATCTGCAGATGTGCCCAGATGGGGGTGCATGGGTGGCTCAATCAGTTAAGCATTGGACTCTTGGTTTTGGCTCAGGTGGCGATCCTGAGTCCGAGGTAATAGGGCCTCCTGCTCAGTGTGGAGTCCACCTGGTTTCTCTCTCCCTCTGCCTCTCATCACCCCCACCCACCCACCGCTGCTCGCTCACTCTCTCTCTCTAAAATAAATAAAGCTAAAAAGAGAGAAGGGGATGGCTTGGTGGCTCAGTCATTTAAGCATCTGTCTTTAGCTCAGGTTATGATCCCAGTGTCCTGGGTTCGAGGGCCACATCAGGTTCCCTGCTCAGTGGGAAGCTTCCTTTTCCCTCTACCTCTGCCTCTCCCCCTGCTTTTGTTCTCTCTCTCTCTCTCTGACAAATAGATAACATCTTTAAAAAGAAAGAGAAAGAGAAAGAAAGACAGATGGACTCTGATGTTCACACCTTCAGGGCGTCCCTGTCATCCTTTTAGAAAGTAAGGTAGTGTGAAGACAGTTCCCACCCAGTGAGAATGTACCCAGAGAATTAAAGATCGACAAGCCAGCAAGGAGTCCAGACCTGCACCAAGAAAGGCCTTCCACTGTGCCCACAGCCAAGATTGGAAGGTTCTGGTGAACTCTCAGCTGTCTCTGGCTGCACAGGCAGCCTGGGGCCTGTTAGCGGGCTTGCAGGGCTGGGAGAGGTGAGCGTCCCTGGGGGCTGGCTGGGCTTGACCCCAGAAGTCATCCTCAAGGCCAGATCCATCTAAAAGCCATCCACTGTTAGCTAAGCTTTTTTGAAATAATGAAGCGGTGGAGTAGCTAGTTACAGGTATTTCCTGCGGACACTGTCTCCACCCTCATTTCGAGGGCTGGGTCACCCACTGTCCTGTGACCACCAGCAGATGTCAAGGCGGAGATGAAGTAAGGGACCCGCAGTGTCTGGGAAGGTTGCAGCTGAAGGCGATTCTCAGCCGCATCTGGAATGTGCGGGTGTATGCAAAGAGGGCCTCCGGCAGCAGCCGTCCCCCAGCCCTTAGAGAGGCCCCTGAGGGGGTGTTGAACTGGGGCCCTAGGGTGACCCCCAGTCATCTCTGAGTCCTGGTGTTTGGCGCTTTGTGCATGCCTCCCTCTAAGTGCAGGGAGACCCTGTGCTTTCTTTTCATGGAGAGACTGTGACAAGACTAAGGGGACAGAGTTCAGGCCCACGAGGATGGCACGTTCTAGGACTCTCAGCACACTGGAAAGACACTCCGGCCTTGAAGAGGCAAACTGCCCAGTTGTGGACTATTGGAGGGACACGGGGATCTCCATCCTGTTCCCACAAGAATGAGCTCTGCCTACAGTCTGGGGGATCGTGGAAGCAAACCACCTTCCAGAGGAGCCTCTGATGAGACTGCAGCCCCGGCCTCCCTGTGCAGGGAGTATCCTGGGGCCTCTTCTGGGGAGGACTTCCAGGGGGATCTTCCTGGGGTTCATCCTTATGGAGGGACATTCTCCAAGGAGGTGGGTAGACTTCCTCCAGGAGAGACGTCCCTCTGAGGGGACTTCCTGTAGGAGGACACCCCTGCAAAAAGGGATATTCTGGAGACAGGAGCCTCCCAGCCGGTGGGCATCCTCCCGGGGGACAATCTTCCCGGGGAGGCTTCCTCGGGGGAATACTGTCCTGGGGGGCATTCTGGGGACTGATTCTCTGGGATGAGCCTCCGCAAGGGACATCCCCTGCATCTAGAGGAGTCCTCTAGACTGGGGGCGCTCCAGTCGGCATCCCGGGAGGGGTGTTCTCAGAGAGGACTTTGGGGGAAATTCTCTCCGTCGAGGTGGCCAGGCGGGAATACTGCGGGGAGGGGGGTATTCCGGGAGGGATTCTCCCGAGGGAAGACATTCGCTACGGACAACCTCGGGGAGAAATCCTTGGAGGGGGGGGCATTCTCCCAGGGCGAAGGGATATTGTGGGGGGATCCTGCGGGGGTACCCCGGGTGGGGAGCACCCTCCCGGGAGACCTGGCCGCGGGGTTGGGGGGCTGCCCTGGGAGGACTCTCAGCGGGGAAGGGGGCGGGCGTCCTCCGGACGGACGTTCGCGGCGAGGGATGCTCTCGGAGCCGGGACCTCCTTCCGGCAGGCGGCGGCGGCGGCGGCCCCGCCCCGGCCCGCCCCCCGGCCCCGGCCCGCCCCCGCGCTTCCTCCCTCGCTCACTTTCGCTTCCGCCGGAGCGCGGGACCCGCCGCCGCCGGAGCATGGACGACCCGGACTGCGACTCGACCTGGGAGGAGGACGAGGAGGAGGACGGCGAGGGCCCGAGCGCCCGAGGCGACGAGGATGGCGAGGCCGGCGCCCCGGGGGACGCGGACGCGGAGGACGAGGACGAGGAGGACGCGCGGGCGGCGCGGCCCGGAGCGCTCCAGGTGCAGCCCCGACGCGCGCTGGGGTCCCCGCGCCCCCGGGCAGGCCTGCCCGGCCGCCGCGAGGTGGGGACGAGGCCCTGCTCCGGGCAAGCCGTCCTCCCTGGAGATCCGGCCTGGGGCCTAGCTCTCCCTCCAGCTGTCGCCCTCTCCCCCGCCCACAGCCCCCTCGTGCCTCCCTCAAGACCCCCGGACACCCTGAGATCTGCCCGGACCTGCGCCCCCCAGCTCTGGCCCAGCCAGGGGACATTGCAGGGAGATCCAGGGCCACCCTCGGATCTGTGTGCCCGGAGCCGAATTGTGCGCTGACACTTCCTCAAGGGGATGCCCTGAGCGCATTCTTGACTCCCCTCTCTGTCACCTCCCACCTCCAGGCCCTAGGCTCCATCCTCCTGATAGATCCTCTGTGCCGCAGCTCCCCTGCTTCCGCCAGCCTCCCTGACTCTTGGTGCTCCCGCTTC